TCCCCACTGATGTCCCCACTGATGTCCTCGTGTCCCCACTGATGTCCCCACTGGTGTCCCCAGGCCGAGAACCTGCTGCTGGACGCCGACGCCAACATCAAGATCGCCGACTTTGGCTTCAGCAACGAGTTCTCGCGGGGCTCCAAGCTGGACACGTTCTGCGGCTCGCCGCCCTACGCCGCGCCCGAGCTCTTCCAGGGCAAGAAGTACGACGGGCCCGAGGTGGACATCTGGAGCCTGGGGGTCATCCTCTACACGCTGGTCAGCGGCTCGCTGCCCTTCGACGGACACAACCTCAAGGTGACCGCCCAGAGCCCGGGGGCACCGCCTGGTATTGTCCGGTCACTGCCCGGTCACCTGTGGTCACCTGTGGTCACCTGTGGTCACCTGCTGGGGACCGTCTGGTCACTGCCTGGTCACTGCACGGTCACCTGTGGTCACCTGTGGGCACCTCCTGGTATTGTCCAGTCACTGCCCGGTCACCTGTGGTCACCACCTGGTATTGTCCAGTCACTGACCGCTGGCAGCCCGTGGGCACCTGCTGGTCACTGCCCGGTCACTGCGTGGTCACCGCCTGGGGATTGTCCGGTCACTGACCGCTGGCAGCCCGGGGGCACCTGCTGGGGACTGTGCAGTCACTGCGTGGTCACCTGTGGTCACTGCCTGGGGACCGTCCGGTCACCGCGCGGTCACCAGTGGTCACCTGCTGGGGACCGTCTGGTCACTGCCTGGTCACTGCGTGGTCACCTGTGGTCACCTGTGGGCACCTCCTGGTATTGTCCAGTCACTGCCCGGTCACCTGTGGTCACCGCCTGGTATTGTCCGGTCACTGACCACTGGCAGCCCATGGGCACCTCCTGGGGACTGTCCGGTCACTGCGGGGTCACCTGTGGTCACGTGTGGTCATCTCCTGGGGATTGTCCAGTCACTGACCGCTGGCAGCCCGTGGTCACCTCCTGGGCACTGCCCGGTCACTGCGTGGTCACCTGTGGTCACCTCCTGGTATTGTCCGGTCATTGTGTGGTCACTGTGTGGTCACTCAGTCCTGGGCCACTCCATGTGACCCCTGAGCTGCCCACGGGTCATCTGGTCAGTGGTCACTGAGTAACCCAGGGTGACCCAGAGTGACCCCTGGTGTCCCTCATGTCCCCAACTGACCCTGAGTGACCCCAGTGACCCTGACTGACCCTGGCTGACCCCAGCTGACCCCAGTGACCCTGAATGACCCTGAGTGACCCTGAGTGACCCCAGCTGACCCCGAGTGACCCCAAGTGACCCCAGCTGACCCCAGTGACCCTGAATGACCCTGAGTGACCCTGAGTGACCCCAGCTGACCCCGAGTGACCCCAAGTGACCCCAGCTGACCCCAGTGACCCTGAATAGCCCCGAGTGACCCCAGTGACCCTGACTGACCCTGACTGGCCCCAGTGACCCTGAGTGACCCCGAGTGACCCTGCTGACCCCTGGGTGACCCCGCTGACCCCGGGTGACCCCAGCTGACCCCAGTGACCCTGAATGACCCTGACTGACCCCAGTGACCCTGAATGACCCTGACTGACCCCAGTGACCCCGGGTGACCCCACTGACCCCGGGTGACTCTGAGTGACCCCAGTGACCCTGACTGACCCCGGTGACCTCGACTGACCCTTGCTGACCCCAGTGACCCCGGGTGACCCCGCTGACCCCCGGGTGACCCCGCAGGAGCTGCGGGAGCGCGTGCTGCGGGGCAAATACCGCGTGCCCTTCTACATGTCCACGGACTGCGAGAACATCCTGCGGCGCTTCCTGGTGCTCAACCCCGCCAAGCGCTGCACCCTCGAGGTCTGGGGGTCCACGGGGGTCTGCGGGGTCCCCAGAGGGATTTGAGGGGTCCCAAGAGGGATTTGAGGGGGTTTTGGGGAGGTCTTGAGGGGCTTTGGGGGGTTCTGGCAGGGATTTGGG